ATTGGCAATTCATATACAAAAGCATTTAAAAAAAAAATGGCTTGATTTAAATATTATTGGTTTATTAGTCTTTTAGAACATTTATTAAAATATTTTTTAGCTAAAACCTTTAAATAATTGCCTTCATCATCTTGACAGTCCCCTTTTCCAGTAAGAATTTTATTTATCTCTTTACAATAATTAAAAATAAAAAACCTAGATGTGACATTTATTAAATACTCAATTATTTGGTTTTTATGCTGTGCACAAGTAATAAAACCGAAATCAATAAACATTATAATATGAGTCTTAATGAGTTCTTTTAAATTGCTTTTTTCTGCAAGTTCTTTTAAAATTATCTCACTTATATCGTGGATTTCGGAAATGCACTTAACTAACGAGTCAGTAGGACTGCAAAGCCACTGGCGACCTGCATACTCTCGATATTTTATGTATTCTGTCCCTACATTTTTTAAAATATCAGCAGCACATTTTGGGGCAGTTTTTGAAAACATTTTTTTTTACCATTTTGGCGAAGTATCCGCTTATATACTCTAAAGCGCCCATTATTCTAGGATCTAAGCCTTTTTTTTCTAAACTTTCTGTATAAATGTTGGGCAAATATTCTAACTCGCAGGTCGTCGAGACTTTGCAGTCATCTGTGACAATGAAGGCATGTAAATTTTCACAAAAATCTTTCTCACAGTTTGTTCCTGCAGGGGCATGGACACTCGACATATTGTTTATTAGAAGAGTTACAAATGCGTTCTCGAAGTTTTCAGGAGTAGGGTTGGTGTTTCGGCACCCGTGAACTCTTATTTCACCAAAAAAATTTTCTATAGGGTTTTGGTTTAGATGCCTCATCCAAATAGAATTAACTTGATACTCATCTTTTAGTTTTTTTAGTAAAACTTCGATGCCGTCGAGTGTCCACGTCCAATTTTTTAATGTAGGTACATTCTCAATTTTTTTTGATAATCTATGAACAAATTTCATAGCCGCAAGTTTAGCTTTTGCATTCGCCCACTCTTTGTGGTGGATTGAGTTTGGTGTGACAGGCCCAAGCAGCGGTTTTGCATGTTTTATTGAGTTTTTCATATAACTTCCATTTTGAGAGTCAAATAAATTGTCAAAAAGCAGGAGAATGTCAGCTGTTGCTTTACATTCTTTAGGGAGAATGTCCTTATCTGAAAAGAAAAAAGAAGTTATTATTAAGTATGTTAAATAATAAACAAGTATTTCTTAACTTTATATTGCCATATAAAAATTATATAATTCGACCCTACAAATGTTAAGTTTATCTATTGTAAGTTACCTGCAAGGTATCCCATGTTAGTTGCAACTGTCCTGCTAAATATCTGAGTGGCAAATTTCACCTTCATTTTATTTCTCTTCAGTTTTTCTGGAACGACATGGTTATCTGTTAATTTGGGTATAAGTCTTACGCCTTTATACCCAGGATTTTCTTTATGTAGTAATATTAGATGTTCCCATTTGGCAATGTATTTTTTGCCTTCTGAAATATACTCCAGATCTTTAGTTAATAAATTGTTTCTGATGCATTTTAACAAATGTGGAGGATCATATAGTGGAATTACTTCTTCATTACTGAAGAGTATTATATTTTCTTTTGGTTCTTGTCCAGCTCGCAAATATGCCCCACGGGTTTTCGTGCAATAATAATTTTATTGCTTGTCTGTTGTTCGTCCCTTGGTCGCAAATCATGGCAACTACAATGAAACCTGCGTCTTGTAACGCCGTTACATTTTCTTTAATCTGATTTTTTATTTCCTGTCCACTTGTAGCTGCTGCTGAAAATGTGTATGGTAAGGGCTGTTTATAATTTTTGACAAGACCCCTTATCATATCGACGGTTAAAAGGCTAATTGGTCTAAGCGACATTTTTTTAAAGCTACAGGAGAGCGATTTAAAGTTGCGTTTTTCGGAAAAAAAATCATTAAAAAAAACTACTGCGCGGATGTTGATCTAATCAATACAGTTTTTCCGCAAATCCATATTGCACCTTCCTAAATAGTTTCCATGAATATGTAGGCTTTTTTTAATGAAATAAATGTCGCTTGACTCAAAATGCATCGTATTATTTTTTTAATAGAACAAGTAAAAATGGTCTAACTGCCAGTGATTTATATTCAAGTTAAAAGTAAATTAGTCCAAATGTGGATATGGATATGAAACAGGACAAGGAAAAATAACATAAACTACACGTGTTTCTATGCATTTAGCATATCAAAAGAGTTTAAGTAATATGTGAACTTGAATTGGAGTAAAGTAAATTAATACAAACAACAACAAATGTTCAAACAGAATCAAGTAAAGTGAATACTTGCTATCATAATATTAGACGTAGGCTCTTATACCCTTTTTAAGATTGATCATAAATATGTAAGGATGTAATGGTTAGAGTTCATTTTAAAATAAAATCAATGTTTGAAATAGAAAAAAAAATGTATTTGGTCAATCCAAATCCTTTAACAAAAATAACTGAAAAGATTAAAACAAGATAATTAATTATTAAAATTACAGATTACAATAATACCACTAGTGCAATATACATAACATCATAATCTGGTTTATAGAGTATCTGTGGCATTGAGTACGGAATAGTGCGAGTTTTAGTTTTTTTACTATTAAGTATAAATGAATTGAAAGTAATGATAAAAGAAATTGGCAAAGTGTTAAACTTAAAATTGACAATCTTCTTTTTAAAAAGTATCGACTTAATCTTAGTTTTACCTATGAGTATTTGTTAATTCAGTCTCAGGATTCCTTATATCACCACATCTAATCACAATGTAGTCTAAAAAAATATTAAACTTTGAGGTATTAACAAAATACAGCCTCTAAATATCTTAATTAACAATAATAATCAGTCATGGCATTTTATATGAAATGCGTGCAATATACATCACATCATATTTGGTTTATGATGGGGTAATTTTTTACTATTAAGAATAAATAAATTGAAATAAACAATAAACTAAATTAGGCAAAGTGTTAAACTTAAAATTGAACAATCTTCTTTTAAAAAAGTATCAATTTAATCTTAGTTATACCTATGAGTATTTGTTAATTCAGTCTCAGGATTCCCTATATCACCACATCTAATCATAATGTTGTCTAAAAATATAAACCTTTGAGCTATTAACAAAATACAGCCTCTAAATATCCTAATTAACAATAATGCCTAAGTAATCAGTCATGGCTTTTTTATAATGTTATAAAAATCAAAATCCCTATCCTTTATTAAATAGAATCAGATATTAAAGGCGAAGTTTCCTCGTCATCTTCAATATCTGTGTCAACCAGTACATCTTTTCCGATTCGATGAGAAAAACTTGCGTATTCTGAATGAAATAGTCTTGGTATAACTCCGGTATCACATAATTTTTTCAAATCATTGTGCTTGGTTGTAGTTATGGGCAAAACTGATTTGTATTTTTGGTGAAGCTGCTTTGGCCTTGAAATAATTCTTACTGTTTCATCTCCAGTATCCTCTATCATGCTGTATTTAACAGTCATAATATTTGGAGATGACTTTTTGAATGTTGCCACCCGTATTTTGCTTATCTTACCAGATAAGTTCCCTTTAAAATATTTATCAGAAAATTCCTCGAAGTTCTTAAAGTCTTTGTGGTTAAGTACTTCTACTTCATATGGGCGGGGATCCTTACGAGCTAACTGAAAAACTGTTGCCCACTGCGAAGGTGCCCATATTATAGTATTTCTAACAGAGTTTTCAATTGTAGCATGAATGCTGTCTACGGTCATTTCGGTGTGTCCTGGCAGCAAATAATTCATCTGAATCGTCTCAATATTGTTTGCTTGTAGTAAGGCATTGTGTATGGTGGCTAAGACAAGTTTGTTCTTATTTTGTCCAGGACATGAATCGGAATATAAAATTAAACTTTTAATGGATCCACGTGAGTCAACATCAGTAATATACTTCTGAAGAATCGACGCTATCTCATTCCCGCCTCTTTTTCCTTCAGTCTCGCCCCACATATAACAGAATCCGTTCCTCGTAACACTTTCGTAAAAACATAGATTGTAAACTGTATATTTCCTAGAGTAAAACAGAAGCATGCTTTGTCCGTGTGGCGTTTAAGGACTTTTTGTAAATCGAAAGAAGTACAAAGAATTGATTTATTCTTTTTACAGAGCTCACGGTGAAAAGCTAACCTCCTTTTTGAGGCTTCTTTTTCTTTTAAATGCATCATCATGTCAGGGTTATTAGTATCTTTGCCTTCAAAACGTAAACATTTTACACATTTGTCCTTTTTCGGAACATGAAACCCGATGTTAAAGTTTTTGGTAAAAATGTTACGAAATATTTGTTCACCAACAACATCGACACCTTCACTGGTTCGAGCTTCTTTATATATCCTATAAAGATTTTTAATGTTTCGAAATTCTGTGTGGAGATAAAGCCGGGTAGTATCTTTCCGACAGTAATGAGATGGTAGCGCCGGTAAGCCTTTGATGAAGTTTATGGCTGAATTTTTGACTTCTTCAGAAGTTTTATTCTTTGGAACAAGTTTACCTCTTGCTTCTTGTTTTGACAACCCAAAAGACGCATTGGTCAATGTATAGGTAATGTATTTTTGACTTATGTCTAACGTACACATCAGGAATTGTTTGCATACTTTGCGTCGACCCTCTCCATCGTTGATAAAATAATGATAAGTATTTTCTCTATAGTTCGAGTCTTTAGACCTTTTGCGTATAACGTCATTTCTAGATGTCATAGCAATTAGCCAATCTTTTTTCCTTTGTGGAGTTAAACCCCAAAAGTGATCGAATATATTTTTCCTTTTGGCATCACTTACTTCTTGGCAATTGTTGCCACATGCTTTGCACACAACAACAACATGGATTAGGCTGTAAACATCTAGCGTTCACGATGCATCCATTTTTCCTGATATATTCCCGTCCTTTTTCTCGTGCATCTGTAATCACTTTACGTTTATTTATTTTTTTCTTTCTTAGTCCACTATCACCTACTATTCCATATTCTGAGCTCTTTTTTTCTTTTTCTTTTCCGGTACATCAATTTCACTAGATTCATCGCCAGTCTCTTTCCAAGAAGAGGAGTCCCATACAAAATCTTCCTCATCAGAAAGAAAATCCACATAACTTTTCTTCAGTTTGCACCTTTTCGATTTTTTATTTTCTTGAACCTGCTTATTATCTGTAATATTCATGGTAATACTTTTATCTTTGTCGATATCGTCTTCTTCTAAAGATTTCCTAATTAAATCCATTTCTTTATCCGCAATTATTTCGGTAAATGTAGGATGAAGTTCACCACTCTCCGATTCTTCTGCATTCTAAAACAAACAATACACCAAATAATACGTACAAGTCGTCAACTTTAACTTTTAGAGTGAAATAAAGAAAAAAACTACCTGCGGTTCAATATCTATATTATTATTATTACGTAGGCGTTTTCTTCATTGAAAGTGTTCATTAGTAAATCTCTTTTGTTTTGATTGTGATAGGATGAGCTACCTAAGATGGTAACTGAGATATCTTCTATGACTACAAAATTCTCCTGTTCACAGTACGTATTTTGATTAATTTCTGCGCAGGTTTTAAATGGTAAATCTGTTTGGTCGTCCGCAATTTTATCAGGTAATACTGACTGAAGTTTATCGCAGTCATATCCCTTTTCTGCATTCTAAAACAAATAATAAAATAAGTAAACTTGAGTAAAATTAAATAAAAAATAATTAAGTAGGTATTAAAAAAACATCGCTTTTTAGGATTTCATTTTTTCAAAAACTTCATTAGCAGTTCGATGTCTCGAATTGTACCTATATATGGGTAAATGGCAATTACATAGCGCAACATAATTATCTTGTTACACTATGAAATAAAAAATCAACTAGTTGCCTGTGGTTCTTCCTCTATAGCATTGGTGTCTTCTTTATTGATAGGCACCGTCATTAGTGGAACTCTTTCAGAATATGGGTTATCTATAACTGTGACATTATTTTCTGTACTGGTTCCTTCTTTAATTGCATTTTCCTGCTGTGATAAGTTTTTCATAATTTGTTTTTTGAAGTACATTCGCCGTTCAGAATACATACTGCCTAAAATGATAAATAACAAATTCAGATCAATAAATGGTAGTAACTTTCCTTTCAATTTTAGTGAAATACCTATCAAGTAAAATAGTTTTTAAGCAGTCAAGGAAGTAGTTAATTAGGAAAGTAAGTACATCCACCTTACTTAGAAAACCGCATTATTCGTTATCCTCACGCGGTCCTTTGTGTTATGTTTATGCCCCGGTACCTACCTAGTAAATTATACCACATCAACACCTTGTTTCGTATTACGTACTTACATTAACGGTTACCGGTAAAATGTCTACATAACAAAGTAGGTACGTTAGTTGATAACGTGATAAAGTCGTTTATGCCTAGGTACCTAGTAAATTATACCACATCAACACCTTGTTTCGTATTACGTACTTACATTAACGGTTACCGGTAAAATGCAATAAATAGCTAATTATAGTTATTTTACACACTAATACAATTAAAACTTTCTTTTATTATTATATTCAAACATCATGATTATAAAATACAATAATTAAACAAAATAGGTACATACTTACCACGAAATTATCGTTCGTTTCGGGTTAAAAAAGCTCTGTATTCTACAACACACTCGAACACAACTGCACTTGCTTACGTCTAGCGGGTGACTGATGCGCCCGCGGCGGGAAATCTCTCAGTAAAGTACCTTGATTCATAATCGTACGACAATTTTTTGTTTGTTTCAAACGACTTAAGTATAATCTTTATTACTATTTTCTGATGACTTAACAGGTAAGATTTTTCAATTTCAATTTTAGTAAAATGGTGTAATTACCGAAACTATAAAAGTTTGAACGTATCTCAAAAGGATTACATAACATTAAACATCAATACCAATATAAGCAAAAATGATTCAAACGTCATTACAAAATAAAACTGGGCCAAGTTGAATTGGTTCAATCGACCAGGCCTCCTATTAAAATGGAAGCAAAATGGTTCAAGCGACATAGCCTATCTTTATTACGTAATGCAAAAATGTCTCAAGCGACAAAACCATGTTAGTCGAGCAAAAGGTCAAATGTCTTAACGCGCATTGGTCATTCAAAATACGTGTAGAAAAAATGAATCAACCGACGTATGGAAAATTCTGGGTCTAGTCTAAGTTACCAACTACAAAATATTGCACAAATTTTGTGGCGGTTAGATCATAGACGTTCAAAATGAGGGCAAAGTTGATGTGGGGTTCAAGCGCCAAAAATATGCTCATAAAAATTTGAAACCTAATTCAAAAGACGCAGAAAAATTCGCTGATTCCAAATACGTATATAACTCAATATCGCAAAAAGTGTCGCTTAGACCAATTAGCCTTTTAACCGTCGATATATACCTGAGCATGATCAGCAAATGTCGGCTTTGTACTTTTACCATCTGTAACAAAGCCAATTACTTTGTCTTTTCTTTCGTTGTAACTTAGGTTTGCCTTCAAAAACATCTCATCAAATATCAAAGTGCATAGCCTCTCTTCAGGTTTCATTTTTTCGGCAACTCTTTTTAATTGCACAAAAATTTTTTTATTGATGCCTGGTTTTATATCTGCTTGATTTATTAATATTTTTAAGGTTTGGGGTGCTGGTAAGATGAAATTTTTTCTTAAAAATCTGTATCCCTTAGGTGTCTGTTCAAATATAGACAATGCTAGGATTTTCTCTTGTAAATTAAATCGCCTCCCTTTACTCTTCTTTCCAGCTTCTTTGAACTGCATCATTGTCAATATCTTTGAAGGGTAAGGCATTTTTTCTAGTGTTGCCAAAAGTACTGGGTTAGATGTAATAGTTTTGGCCGCTTTTAGACTAAGAGATTGCCTTTTTATTGTGTTGCGGCATTTGCTAACTTTTATCCGTAATTGTTTTAACTTCTGCTGTAACTTATGTTCTTCAGGCGTGACGTATTTCTTACTCATTTTAACAATTTGCTTTTTGATGGATACTGTGGAAAAAAACTTTGATTGAAATTATTGGTCACATTGAAATAATGTTTGCAATTCGTGAGCATGGTTTAAGAGGATTAATGCTGTCAAGTACGAATTTAAAAAACATTTCCACGCTAGCATGCAAAAAACGCTTTTACGCGTAGATTTCTAATGAGAAAGAAAGTCTTGTTGGGCTAGAGAGATGAGAAAATATATTTACCAGTATCAGATTTTGTTACAACTTTCAATGTTGGCTGTGGAATGATGACAGGATCTACAAGAAAAAAACTTATTTAGTGAAAAATATTAGTTAAAAATAAGTTTCTGCTCTCTCTTTCTGACTCTGCAGTAAAATGTGATAGGGTATTGTATTTAGATAATATTAAAATTCTAAAATTCGTTATTAATCTGTCTGTCAGGTCTGCTAGGTTCAACTCCATACCAATGACATATTTCACAAAACTAATCAATAACAAAATATTGTACATTTACATATACGTTCTATCATGGTAGTATCAACTCCTGAAACATCAATGCCCTTAAAGGTACTCGTAGATGATGACTTCTTTGAAAGACCTGAAGTATATTAAATACCATTTATGACAGTGACTTTTATTGATTAAAAATTCTTTTACTTCAGGATTCACGACCATTAAATCATAGTATCACTAAGTGCATTAAAGTTTTATAGTAAGTGGAATGCAAATAAATTTTAGTGACATGGTAAACTTTTTTTTACGCTTTACCTGCTGAGGATGTTGAGGTAGATGGTACAGGTGTGGACGCAATTGTTAGCATCACATCTGTCGATATTAATGGAGGTGTCGAATAATTTTGTAATTGTCTCATTGGCCTTCTTTCGAGTAATGTAAATTTTGGGATGGCCAAAGGTCCTGAAATAAACATGGATATAATAAACAAAAACAATTTCATTCTATATTCAGTAAAGCTATATAAATATCTCAATATGTGTATCCTATTCTGATTCCAAATTTTTTCAATGCAAAATAAAGACTAGTCATAATGCAAACAAATACTTTGTTGTTGATGCATATATTATGAAAAATCAATTGCAAAGTTGCATAATAATATGAAAAACCAATTATTATGATGAAACACAATTATGTGTATTTATAAAATACAACTGTGATACTTTTTTATCTGATAGGTATGTTCTCAGAGTGGGTTTCACGTGATTATTAAAGAATAACCAGAGCACTATGGTTATTCTTTAATATTCACGTGAATACTTTCTGGAATGTTTTGAAACAAAAACAGTTACACTGAAGTGATGGTCAAAATGAAATGAGGAGGTAGTGTTAAGTATTTCCAATCGATTTGACTACTGGAATACTCTAGTTTTTTGCCATATGGACACCTTTCGGTAGTATTAATTTTTTTAAGTTTTGTTTTTTGTGAATAGAATAGTGTTCACAAAAGGATATTTGCAATAATAATTGACATATGCTAGCTCATTTCATGGAAAGAATTATGTCGAAAAGATACTCATAAACATAATGTAAAAAAAAAACACTTGAAAAGTCCTTGTGGTTTTTTTCATGTTTATGATTTTATTTAGGGATGCACTTAGTGATTTTTCCCAAAAACAGAAAAGTTGAATAACTTTTGAAATGTAGTAGTCAAGTCGATTGGAAATACTCAATCCTACAACCTCATTTGGTTTTGACTATCACTTCCTGGTCACCATGTAATGTAATTAATTCATGAGTGTATGTAAAAGTTTTGAAGTGAAATAATGCTTTACAAACAACAATATGACAAAGTTCTTGTTCGCAACTGTAAAAATATAAAGAAGTTACTAACCTGGCAAATTTAATGTTGGCACTGCAACATTGCTGATTCTATTAAATCGAGAACAAAACTTTTCTTCAAAGTGTGCATGGCATACACTGCGATGTTTATATATATCTTGATCATCCAAACCAATAATGTCACCTCCAATGGAATAAATCCAATTATTAAATCGCTCTTTATCGTTTGTTGGATCCGGGAACAAATGCAGAGTCTGATGTGTATCTAAAAAAGGTAAGAGGTCTTTAGTTCTATGCACTGCATAAATCAGTCCGCACTACAGCAATAACAACAATAACAACTTAAAAGGGAACCCGTTTTGAAGTATCCTTCAAATAAAAAAAAAAGAAGTATATTATTATTCTATAAACAGATATCCTTCTATAGTTAATGACACCTTCATAATGCAATAAAAAAAGCACATTACTATTGTTAAGAGGTTGAGATTTCATTAGTACAAATTATTATACAAAAATAAACTTACTTCCTGAGTCCAGACAACCGGGAACACAACACTTTTTTCTTGACATGGACATATTTAAGGTTAAAACTCCTGTTTCGTTCAATTTCACAATACAACTACAAGAAATGAGTCCTATCTCATCGAGATATAAAGACTCGTAGTTTTGCGTTGATAAATCGTTAACAACGCAAAACTACGAGTCTTTTTCTCACAACACACAAAGCACTATCCGGAGGAAAATACTTGCAACTCGACAGAATTAAAGCAAAAGTACAACAGGAACAAGTTTTACAAAGTACTTTGTGACAAGCACGTGGCAAATTTCATAATTCAAGCAAAGTTTAGCAAAGTATACTGGATATTGACGTCCATTAAAATTAAAGTGTTGCCAGAATTTGTATTCGAATCTTACTATTACTTCTGATCATTTAAATTCAAAAGAACGAAAACACTGCGAATTTTAACATATTTTAGATAGTATATCACGTTTAGTTTATTTCAGTGAATTAGTGGATTAAATTCCTAAAACATTTCAATAATGTCTACCTGTTAAACACTAAATAATTACTGCTAAAATCGACAAAGAGCAACGTGTGGTCGCAAAAATTATACGATTGGTTTGAGAAGAGAGACATGCTTCTCACTATGTCATAATAATAAACTACTCTTAATTTTGGTATTATTATAACTATCCTAGCGCCATCACTAGTATTTTTACGGAAATACTAAATTAAAATACTACTAAAGTAAAAAGACGTAAATATCGAATAAAATATTTAAAGTTTCTGTCCAACCAAAATGGTAGGGTAATGATATAACATTACCAAGAAGTTTGTATGGAGATTACAGGGTGTGACAGTAGCACAACTGACCAGCTTACCTGACCTTACAACGGGGCGCGCGCGGGGGTCGAGTATGGTACGACATGAACATGAAGCAAATGCGATCCGAATTGCGGGCGAACAAGCTAACACTCTTATTTTATTATACAACATAACAGACCTGTTTTGAGAGTTTTTTAAAGGATATAATATGTATTTCAACATAAAATTATACAAGTATTGCGATTTAAGTCTTTAGAACACTCTAATGAAAGTTCTTTTAAAACTGTTTATATATTATTCGAAATATTCGAATTATCCGATTTGTAACTACTGCTTAATCTGAATACCAAATTTAACGGATATCCGGATAAAACGAATATTCGGATATTCACATTGCTATATCCGAATATTCGTGACAATGGGAATCGTCAGACGATAAATAAAACGTCACCAAATGTAACGACAGATAATCGCAGCTTCAAACGATTCTGTCGTGCAAACGACAAGGCAGCTGTCACGAACCGATAAATTATCGTCACGATCTAATGGGAACACCTAGACACAACAGTCGTTCACCGATAAAATAAACGTTACGACATAATGGGAACGAGCCCTAAACTGCCCGGTTTCGAATTACGACTTAGTGTACGTACCAATTTTATCTATCCATTGGTGCTTCTTACCAAATGGGTCTTTCTAATCCAGCATGAAAAATAAACAAGATAACGAAATTTTCAAAGGTTTTACACCAATTCATTAGTTTTAATAAGGTTTATATAGGAAGATTTTTTAAACACTATCCAAAATTTCATATTATGATCTGCA